TTTACCGAATGATAATATTCCAGAAGATAAGAAGTTTCTAGGTTTAACGAGCCATGAAGTGAAAAATCCTCAAACCCGAGAACAATTTAATCAGTGGCGTACTAAATGGATTGAAATATATAAAAACGATTATATGATGCGCAGTTCCATTATTATTAGACAATATGAAAAATATTATATTCCGTATAATTGGATAGATTCTAAAAAGAGTCAATTGCGGGTTAGATTCCAAAAGCGACTTTTAGAAATAGAAGCATAGTACACAGGTATTTATTCGATTTATTAATTGCTTCATGATAAAAAATACCCATACTTTTTATATATTATTTTTTGACTGTGCCAGCTCTACTAATACCTTTGAGGACATAGATAGGTAGTTGTCTACCGTTTTCCTAATGCTATTCTTGAGAGTGGCAACTCATCACAATTGGATAATCTATGAAGTGAATACTAACTATAGACTTTTCATTTCTGCAAAGCAGGACACTTACGTGGCTGATTTTTTATTGCAGAGCAGGCCCGAAGGGTGACCCTAAAGGGTCATGGTTCTTCGAACCTATCTTGTGTTTTTGCCGTAACTCTATCTCTTTCTGCAAATCTAGTGGAGTATCGAACCTTAACCGAATTGCAAGTGGATCGTCCTCTGCTTTATTAAGATCAAATACTATAAATTCACCTTTACGCAGATAACTATTAATAACCATTGATGCATTTTTAACATCATCAGTATAACGACCAGCTATCTTGGATACATCTTGATAACTACTGCCCCCATTAAATATAACTAAGTGGGTAAGATTTTCACGAATAATTATTGGGGCATGGTGATATTTTTGTGTCACATATATTGGACTTATATTACGATGACATCCATGTGTAAAGAATAGAATAATTCGATTTTGTATTGTATCTGGAGCAACACATAAATCCTCAAAAATAATTACAGTACTCCTCTCTGGAGAAAATGATTTTACACTAGGAATTTTTTTAGGTGAGATATATTTAAATCTAATATTTTTGTAATATGGTGCTTTTGGATCACTTGCGATTACTCCATATATATATCTAACAAATGCCCATTTAGGTTCATCTGGATGGTATCCACAAACTATCAAATCATTACATCGTATATAGCGGGATCCACCCTTTTTCTTTTTATATATACATTCACCCTTGTTACCAACAAAAATATTTCTGAGTATATTAGTCTTACCTGTACCACTTTTACCAGTAAATACCTTACTGAAAGGCCATGACATTGCTGGATATCCGATATTTTTGGATGATTCGTGCTTTGTGGCCTCATCCATATCCATAAGGTAAAGTTTCATAGGTGGTAATTCTTTTTTTCGGTTCTTTTGTATAACGAATTGGGAATCCATAACTATGATTTCTATAGACGGGATAAAAAATTTCTTCCTTTTTGGTTGGATGAAAAATATTCGTGTATATATACCAAATAATTAATATCACTATTATTGCAATAATGATAATTTTAATAATAGGAGGAATCTGATACTTATCATTAACTAAAGCCTCGCCAGCGCATACTGCCCCTTCTATTGTAATATCTTGAATTAATGACTCTGAATTCTGCTTATTTATGATAATTGGAAATGTTTCATTTTCTTTTATTACTAGCTCATTTTTTATATTCGATATATCATTTGTTAAAGACTCTTGGTTAGTTAGGGAAGTATCATTTATTTCTGCTTCCATTTTTTTTTTACTTTTAAAATATTTTACAAGACTTTTAGATTCAGCTTCAGAATTGATATGAAACTTTGTTCCTCATTCTGCGTATTTTTTTCTGCACCTCCCATAACTACAGGATTTAATATATCTTTTGTTTTCTGTGAAGCAGGGCATAAAGTGCCTAAACACTCAATTTCATTAATTTTTGAAGCTAATTCATCCTTTGTATTCGTTAGTTCATTCTTTATATTTGTTAATTCAGACTTTAGAGATATAATCTCGGATTCTTTTTTTATTATCTCTTTCTGAGTTGAAAATGCATCCTTTTGAGCTGATTCTAACTT